TAAAAGAAATACTAGTTGTTGCGATTAATTGAAAAATCACAAAAATAAGAATGATAATTTTATTTTGAAGCACCTTACAAAATATTGGATTTACTAAGATCTAGAAAATATGATTATTAGATGATAATAAATTATAATAAATATTAGTTGTTACGATTGATTGAAAAATCACAAAAATAAAGATGATCCTTTTATTTTGAAGCACCTAACAAAATATTGGATTTACTAAGAGGCAGAAAATATGGCTATCAGATGGGAATAAATTAAATTATATATTAGGTTGTTACATTTAATTGAAAAATCATGAAAATAAAAATGATCCTTTTATTTTGAAGCACCTCACAAAATATTGGATTTGCTAATACCCGAAACATATGGTAATCAGATGAGAATAATTTTATAACTACGTTTTTGTTAAAAAAAAAGAGAATGATTTTTTTTATACGATTTTCCATAAAGAAATTCCTTTTTGAAAAGTCAGGGTTAAAGTTTGTAGCTAGACTAAACCTGTCCTTGATCAGTTATCTCAATAGCCTTTGTCAAATATTTAGATTATCCTATTTTTATCTTTGTTGTCATTTTCCTTCAACCCAATAGCAAAACTTATCAATGTTTCTATTAATATTATCAACGGACAATAAATTACGAATCCCATAAAATCACTTCAATAAAAAAAATCGTGAGTCGATTATTAATCATTATTATTTAAAAAAAAATATCGCTCCATTTTCACAAAAAAGAATAAAAAAATATCATTAACCTATCTGTTGACCGTTAGTAGTAAATAAAATTTCCAATATTCATGACTAAATAAAACTGATAACTCATTACCTCACTTATTCGACACTTAAAAATGTTTTTGTTATTTTTGAGATAATTGATGATTCAAATAGATAAAATACTTTTGTGTCTTTTGACAGAGCAATAAAATCATTGAGAAATATCTAATTGATCATTCTTTTCTTTATAAACCTGTTTGTCGTCGACAAGTTTTATGTAGGTACAAATAAGTCTCATTTAAAAATAATAATAATTTTAAATGTAGCAGGAAAGGATCATATAAATTTTGAAAGGTTTTCTTACTTTATTTACCATAATAAAACTTTATTCAAACTTATGAACATTTAAATAATATTTTGTAAAAAAATTCTTTAAAAAATTTTGCCTTATCAGTTTGTGGGTTTTTTGTGGTTGGGAATTTACGTGTATAATTAATTTGTGATTAATGTCTTGCGCCAACTAGAAGAATATATGTTCAGTCTCGGCTAAAACAGCCGTTAATGTCTGAATCATGTCCAAACTGCCTCTGTTCACCCGACGTCCCCACAACTTCAATTCAGCTTTGCAGCTACTTTGTCTGCCATCTTGAAACATTTTCCACTGAAAGCACAGATTTAGTTCATTAAGCAGGCTAAATATGTCACACAAGTAAGTCAGCTTTGCGACCCATACCTTGTCACTGAAAAGTGCTGGTAGTGGCTACTTCTTTTCTGAGAGAAGACATTGCGTAATTCAAATAATCTGAATAGCTAGTTTCCTCTATATAACCAGTGTTCCGGTAATCTGTTAAATTCTGGTGACATTTTAAGGCTTTTCAGATTTCCTTGTGAATGAGACAGAGTGTAGATTCACTCTCAGGTGCAACCTCCTAAATCCGCGTAGTTAAACTTGACAGCCATCAACGCAGCAAGTCCATTTATTGTCCTGATATGTAACCATCCAGTGACTGGAATAGTCCTGCTTACTCCTGTGGTGTTGGTTAGCAAAAATAGTGCACATAACAAACACTCATATAGATATCACACATAAATAAGTAGTATTGATGACATCTGTAGATTCATCAACCTGTGAAGTACTAATCTACTCTAACAATTGTGTCTCAATGTCTTAGATTTCTTTTCTCAATGCACCTAGTCGCAGTGCTAACCCACATCTGCTATCTCTTACACAGCAGCTTCTCCTACAGTAAATACCTATAGTGAATATGAATTCTTCACCAGTAGGGAATTGCTTTTTAGCATCAGCAATCTACCTCCCCTGTAAATCTCTCGTCTTTGGAAAATCCGAGAAAAATACACCACAGTAAATGAAATGGAAATAATTTAATATTCTTTGCGCGGCCCGGTACGGATCGCATAAGGTCTGTTCGTGGAATCACGGACTGGGGGTTGGGGTCCACTGCTCTAAATGACAATGTTTTTGACTAGCATCTAACATTTGCTTAATGTATTCAACTAGACCTTGTCTTAGCAGAAGACTATATTTTTATTTAAACTTTATCAGAAATAATTCTGCATATGGATTCTAACGAATTCAAATTTTAAAGCGGAAATATGCATTAAGTAAATCAAAAATTCTTATTATCTTTAAAAATAAAACGCTTGTGACTAATTAAGAGGATCTAGCTGTTGCAAATTATAGTAAATCTCATAGACCTTAAAACAATCTCTTCCAAAAATAATAATTACGCTAAATCAGAAGTAACGATGCGCTTACAAATACTTTTTCATATTACGTGAGTAAGATTAAATACATAATAATAATGATATAGGACGTTTACTCTTACCTTCTCCTTAAGTTTTGCTAGAAATGTGAAAATTCTTTAGAATCCATAAATTCTAAGATTCTTAACAAGGGTTTGATAAATAAAAGGAACATATATAAGAATAATTAATAATATCGATCTTAAACAATCATCAATCAACGCTTCATATTTTTTTTCTTCATACTTCTAAAATTCTAATTTTTCGTTGACTAACTGATCCGTTGCCTGTGGCGTTGTGGGCGTAAAAAATGGTCAACTTACGATTTCAATATGTAGAATGAATTTTCAAATGATTCGGAGCTTTCTGCTATTTTTAAACTAACTTTGATTTACACTTTCAGAAGAACATTTTTTGGTTTATTCTTTTTCTTATAACATTATAATTAATAATATATAAGAAATATTATAAAGTTTTTTACTGCTCATACATTTTATTGTTTTGCATGAATTTCTGTAATAAACATAAATGCATATTGCTGCTCTTTTTTAATTGCGATTTTTCTCATAGTTATATTTGTGTTTAGAATTTCATCAAGCCTTTTTTAAAAATTAGAATAATAAAAAGTGTTGTAGTAACTTTTGATTAAAAAGTTAACTAGTCGCAACCCATTAGGTTTTTTAATTGCTTTTTCTTCTGAATCATTATTTCTTCTGAGGTTAGGGCTCCTTTGATGTTAATTAGAATAAGTTAAAATTTTTGCTGCAGAATATGATATAATGAATTATTTAAAAATTTCTTATAAATGTTGTCTTATTTAAATTTAAAAGAATCCTGACAATTACATTAAATAAGAACTTAGGAGATGTTTTTTTTAAAAATGAAGTTGTCAAAATTACAATTTAAACCACAGCTTTTAGTCATTTGATTTAAATCGTTGACACTTATTTAAATTTCTTATTTTATGAAAAATTTATTTCAAAACACTAATAATTTTTTTAAAAGTTTCAATTTCATGGTACACAACACTTTTCAATTAACTTCTGAAAAATGTTACTCCAGTGGCCTGTGATTTTACTTTTATCTTCCTTATTTTATGTTAATTCATTTCATTGAATTTAGAATATTAAAAACAACAAATTTGATTTCTATGTTTTTTTAAATTAACGAGACAGACAGATATCAATCTGAATAAAATTCCGAAAAAGAAATAAAATAAAATCAGCAATCAGAAAATATAAAAAAAAATGTGCAATGATAATCAATTATTTATAACTCCTGAGTTTAATTCCTTTTTAAAAATCAAATAATCTTTTAGCGATTTACTAATTTACAAACGATTACTGGTTTAAAAGTTTTGGTGTATATTATTAGCATTAGCATTTAAGAACACTTAAAGTTACGATGTAGTTCAGCCTTGTTCTAGAATAGCAGAATCGATTAAACTTTTTTGTCACATAACGAACTTAAAACTCAGTGACGGACTTAAACTTGGAATGAGCCGCCAACGCCTTAGGAATAGAAATAGTCCTACTTTCAACTATACGCGTTGTCAGTTCATTTTAATTTGCCAGACGATAATTCTACTTATAGTTTGCAAATAAGTCAATAGTTCTTTCAGCAATTAATTCAGACAGTTATCAAATGTAACTTTTTCGTAAAATTGCTTTACTCTAAGAATAAAGAAGTTTTTGCTCACTACTGCAAGTTGATACTTTAAAATATTTTCATGCTGACAAACTATTTATGAAATAAATTCGCCGTAAAGTCTAATAAAGTGTGTCCTATTTAATAAAGTATTGAATTGAATGCAACTTTACAATAATAACCACAATCATTTTAAAGAAATGATTCGAACCCGTCTAATACACCACAACTCAAAAACATAACGAGTGTACAGTTTAAAATGTAATAAATCATCAGTATTTCTTATAAAGAATTTTCGTCTGATTTATATTTTGGAATCGTCTGATAGTAAATGTGTAAGAAAAGCTGAAATTATCGTGGTTGGAAATAAGTAACAGTTAATAATTAATTAACATCTATTTCACACCAAAATTTTATAGTTCTAAGATTTAAAGCACATATAATTAAAAATAAATTTGTTTTCTTTTAAATAATTTTAAATTAAAATTATTTTATGTTTTGAGGGATAAAACATTGATAGAAGTGTTTCTGCTGTTATAATCATTCTTTTATTATCTTCTAAATAACCTGATTATTAACATTCTCATTTTCTCGTATTTACCATGCATCTAACTTTTTTTGTAAAAAAAAAGGAAAAATAAATTAAAAATATTGTTTAAAAAAAGTTAAATACTAGTTTTTTTTTAGAAAAGTTAGTTATAATTAGATTATAAAAATGCAACTCTTAAAAATCAGGAACATCAATAAAAATTTGCTGTAACAGAATTTTTTATTATATAAAATATATATATGTAGTATGTGAATGTGGAAATGTAATAACTAGAACTGAAAAATGTGCGTGGTTTGACAATAAAGAAATGAATAAATAACTGTACCATGAATTAAATAATATTTTATTTTTGAGATTTAAATATAAATAACATTATTCCCGAATTCCTCCACTAATGATAGATTGGACCAGAGTTGAATGATATGAGATCTGTGAAAAGAAAGAAGAAAAAAAAACATTTAACATCATACATTTTAAAACATTTAGAAAAAAAAAACATTTATCTTGTAACTGAATATAAATAAAATTTTGCAGTTATTAATTTTTTTGGATGTTTATTTAAGTCATTCATTGCACAAATCAATCAACTCCATTTTTTGAAATATCTTAAATTTAAGTGCTCTTGGTTCAGTCATAGCATTTTATATTTATAATGAATTTCCTAAGTAATAAAAATTAAAATCTCCAAACGGCAAAAATTTTTCAATAAAAATTTATATTATTTTGTAATAAAAGAAATTTTTAAAACCGTAGGGAATTATTTTATCACCTTTTCCTTTATGGAGTTCTATCAATTTATGCTATGAAAGGGCTCGTTTTATTCAGCTGATGTAATATGTCTTCGTTTTGGACAAGAAAAAGTCACTCATCTAACTCGTGCTGAATAATTAATGCTTCATTTTTCAAATGAATTAACTGCATTTTGAATGTAAATAATTACTACAAATAAATTAACTAGAAATTAAGAGAATTTGCAGACTTGATCAATTATCTCTAGAACACTTGAACCGATTTTAATGAAACTTGATATGCACGTACATATAAAACAGCGGTTGTAGGAAAGAAAAGAAAAGAAAAAAAAAGGGTTAATAGGGGGTATGGTCAACGCCTCCTATAACTGAAAGCCTCCACACGGTTTCTTATAGGTAGTCTAATCAGACCACTATGAAGGATATCCACTTTCCGAACGAGTCATTTAATACAAAATCTAGTTAAAATAAGAAAGTGGTAGCAAATATATGACTAAAAATTTGTTTTATTTATGAATATTATTGGTTTGCCTTATTCACTTGTCAACCACTACAGATTCAATTCTCAAATATATATGATAAATTTCTCTCAATTACTTTTATAAAAGATTTTGGGTTCATGCGCACACCTGGTTCATTTTTTAAATAGTCTGCGCGGACTACTTATAGAAGACCGTGTGGAGGCTTTTTGATGTAGGAGGTGATGGTATGGTCCCCTCTTACAGATATACAGGCCTTGCAGCGAGATTTTATACTTGAAATTAGGCAGTTTATCATTTCTTGTGGCAATTGTCCTGAATTGTCCAGTGGCAATTTCATACCTTCCGACTCCAACGAGTACGCACGATCTTGCGTGTGTATTACAATTGTTGAATAGTTATTTGTTTTATATTGTATCAAAGTATGTACATATCAAATTTCATTAATATCGGTTCAGTTGTTCTAGAGCTAATCGACCAAGTCTGCAAATTCTCTTAATTTCTAACACCAGCGCTCTTCTGAAATAAATTATTTATTTTTTAATGGCTTAAACAATTTTTCAGGTAGTGATGTTAATACTTATTGCCTGAGAAATTTGATTTGAATGCATATAATTAGGAGTGGATAAAGTATCTTTAAATTAACTAATTAACATAAAAAAAATCCAAAAAGTGGATTTAATCGATTTGTCAAATGAAGCATTTGAAAGTAAAAAAATAAATTACTTCACCTCATGCCAAAATTAGCATTTGCACAACATCTACTTGATCATTCATTGACATTAATCAGATAATAAAATCGAGTTAAGCTTGTAATAATAGGAAGCGTTGAAACTCTCTCTTAATTTCAATATTACATTTGTTCCTTATTTGTGCCGTTAGTCATCAATATTATTTTTATTAAAACGAAAGCGATGATAACTCTAAGATTTGCTTATCGCATGGAATTTGAATTTCGAAAGAAAAATAAATATTTTTTTTTATTCATTACTGAGTCTGTTGCTCTTTTAAAGGATTAAATTCATTCCTGTGTTCATAGCCCATAACAACTCCGCTGATACCAAAATGTAATCATATTTCTTACTTCTCAAGGTCATTATAAATTTAGATAGAGAAACGTTATTTCCTGCTTCCTTTTGGTTGTTTGAAGGCACAAAGCAATTAACTAGCATTTAACCTCGGAAACACGGTTGAAATAATCATACCTAACATTATCATAGCTGTAGCAATTGTCATCTTAAAGTAGATGGATTTTATATACTGATGCTTAGAAATCAGATTTGATCTGATTTTAATGTGCAAGGTCGTGATTAACACTTATATTTTACTGCCTGTATTTGTTTTGATTCATATTTTTATTTGGTTTACATTCAGAGAAAAAAATGTTTATCTTACTATCTTGAAACTTAAACTTATAAGTTGGTTTGAATATTACAGTTATTAACAAAAAGACAAAAATCGCTAATCATAATAAGCATTTCATATCTAAAAAAGCCTTTTTTTTCTTAGGAAAGAAGTATTAACGTGTGAACCTCTCATTTTTACAAGAAAATATATTTCTTTAAGCCACATTCAGAGGTTATTCAAGAATAGCGCGGTTATTTACTGAAAATATCATGCCTATTTAATATGTTTCTTACCATAATGCACTGTAAACAGTTTATTTTAGAAATGCAATTTAATTTTGTCTTCGAACATCATCAAATCTTATTACTTCTTGTTTAGTTTTAAAGGTTTTTGGAAATCCTCTCCTGACTCAAATTTTTTTTCTTGTTCCTAACAGTGAAAAATTTTGTAAAGGAACACAATAGAGTTTAGTGCATCATCCATAAAATCCATTTTACAATAAAATCCATTTTTACCGTAATTTTAACAGTAATATTTATTTAATTAGAGACATTCAGCGATTATTACTGTAAAATTATTGCATATCAGATCTTTCATTCCGTAACATGATCTGATAAAAATGGATTTTACGGTAAAAAGTACCGGTACTTCGAGTGCCGCTACCATTTGCCGTAATTTGATCCAAATTTTTTTGCAGTGTATCCTTATTTAATTCAAAGAAATATTTCTCTGAAAAATTAGAATCATTGCCTACTTTAGCTTGCAGATGGGCATTTAATTCCAATTGTGCAAAATTGAGCAAAAATGTGTCAAATTAGCTCCAAAACAAATATAGTCGAATTTGAAAAAATCATGCACTCATTATTAAGTATAGGGACAGCTCAAATCTGTCTTCATTTACACGGGAAAAAAAAGTTCTGGCAAGATTACAGTACACTATGAAAATGATATTTCTGATAAAAAAAAATCGTAATTCTGGTAAATAAAATAAAAATATGCAGTATTTATAACATTCATTTGGTAATTTTTCAGTTCATATGATAACGGTTAACAGGAAATTTTGGTTTTCAAAATTATAGATCTTGTTTCCAAGCATTTAGTAAAAAATATAAAACGAAAAAATAAATTTAACCAAATAAATAGTTTTTATTCCAAGCAAATTTTACCACACCGTTTAATTTTACCAACATGCTTCGGTAAAAATTACCTTGCTTTTCTGTGTAAGTCAGAAACTCGATTAATATATTCTGGTACATTTTGATTACACATTTTTTCACTGTATAGAAAAATTTTGATTACCGATCTGAATAATTTGAATATTTGTTTGTTATAATTTAATCAAGTTTGAGGATGACGAGTAATTTTATCAAGATGTGCCGTTTTTGAGACTATTTTGATCATGTCAATACTATAAGTCCATGGGTTTCAACTATATTTGTTTCGGAGTTATTTTAATAAAATTTCAACCAATTTTGAGAAACCATTTCTTACAGTGTAGCATATAGGTAATTTTCCAAATAATTAACTAAAGAGTGCTTTACTGTTACTTTAAGTGACTAAAATTAAAAAAAAAAGAATTTTTTTTTTTTATGGGATGCCGTCTTGCCCGCAATAATTAGACCTCCTAACTAAGTAATACATTGAAGAAGAACAAAATAAATTTTTTCTGTTACTGTACATTTTTGGTGTATGCGTCTAAAATTCAGTCATCGGTAAAATTAACATTCTGTACTGTATATATTACAAATCTAAAGAAAAAAATCTAAAAAGGAAGCTATTCTTTCAAATGAGTTACTTTTATGAAGTTAAACGTTTGTTATTATTGAATTATCATATTAAATTATATTATTATTTTAGCATCAATGCTTTTTTCAATTTAAAAAAAGTTTATAAAATTTCTGATGAGAAAAGAATTAAAAAAAAGTGTCTTTCAAAGGGCTTATTTTAAGTAATTTTCCGTACTTCAAGAATCGTGATTCTTTCCTTTATCTTTTTGAAATAAAATATATGTATGCATTAGATTGTAGATTTTTTCATCACATGACCTTAGCTTATCAAAAATTTATTAATCAAAATTTATATTATGACTTAAAATTTATGTATCGTTATTAAATTTAGCCTGCGTATTAATGCTTAACGTTAAGAAAATTCAGCAGTCACTATCTAAGCAAAAGTAAAATTTCCTGTTTATTATTTATGTTCATTTTGTTATTATAGAAATTACGTTTAACTGCTTCCTGAACTATGTGAAGTATTTTTCTAAAAAAAACCCCACACAAATCTGATTTTTTTCAACGAACAAAATTACTTACTTTTTCACCAATCCAAATTTTAAGCAAATGATACACAATAGCTTAAAATATGTATTTTGAAGCAAAACAAAAAGTATTAAAAATTCAGTTCATCCTGATTATATTAAAGGATAGAAGATTATTAAAAAGGAGTATTTTATATTATAAAATTGTAAGCTTTTTTAGATATATAGTTAGTTTTAGGTATAAGTCGTCGGTAAAACATATTATTTATTACCTTAAAAAAAAGTCAAATTTTATATCCGTGAGAAATAACGTGAATTTTTTACCACCTAACGGAGTTACGAAACAATTTATACACAGAGTATGGTTAAAACTACCAGGATATGGTTAAATTTATTGTGTTTCTGTCTCTATGGGAGCATCAAAATAGTGTAATTTTCTACCAAGGCGATTAGGTAATCATTTTGATAAAATGAATGGTTTTAAAATAGGTGACAAAAATTTGGTAATTTAATCATAATACACTGGTGGACAAAATTAAGAGATGGAAGGTATTTTCCCAAATATCTAAAAAAATATTGAATATAAATAAATGAAAT